TTCTTGGAAATGAGTGGCCTTATGAGGGAATGGTGGAGCGACACCCAGAGGTTAAGAAACACAGTTTGCTAGAAGTAAATGCGTGCCATATGTTGCTGTGGTTTGTGTTCCATAGGACCATCTGCGTTTTCCTCAGGCTGCCCATGTCTGTCGAGTATTAACAGTGAAATGACAAAAGATGCAAAGTCTGCTGAGTAAGGATCTTTAATAGCAGTTTGAAAACACACATGATACAAAACAAGGATCATTTAATTACTACTGTAAGAATCTGTGAGATGAAAAATTGTGTCCTAACTACAGACTAGATTAAGAAGGACTTCTCTGCAATGCGTACATCTAGGTATGTTCTGAATACTGCTCCATGTTGTATATAATATCCATGAAGAACTCAAAGCACCCTCACCCATCTTCATTTGGGAGTCAATGTGTCATCGTGGTACATGGCTGACCTTCAGAGGCAGATATTTCCAAGTTCAAAACTCAGCTGTACCTTTTGGATATGAAGTTTTTGGTCATTTCTTACATTCCTAGAGTCTATGTCCTCTTAGGTTCCTGTGACAAACACTTACAGGTTGTCTTGAGTATGAAATGCTTTAAGTAAAGACAACAAGGAAGGGTCAGCTTTCCTATTTTTCCATTATTTACCTTTGAAGTTATTGTCATACAGAAAGGATTTTTAATTTACCTGTCTGTGACTCAAAACAATTTTAGAAAATTTGAGAATGTGGTGTGCATCTTTATTTCAGTTCCTTAACATGAATATTCATTGTGCATGTATATGTTGTAAGCTCTGGAGTTTGGAATAAAGCTTTCTTCAAAACTTGTAGAATGTTTTTGGGATTCTTGAGGGACTACGATTTTCAATCTGCTTCCCTTGTGTAGAATAGAGAGGATTCTTTCTCCCTAATAGCTGAAGGATTTTTTTAATGTGAAGGTTACCTCCAGTCTCTGACCTGAGTCCTCTGTATTCCTGAATGTCAGCACACAAATTGAGTCCTGGCATTACCTCCATAGTCACTTTGATATTAGATTGATTGTCCTTCTGTTGCTTATTTATTGAATACATTTATATGCTTCCGTGGAAAGGAAGAGGAATAAACTACCCTTAAGAATGATTTCGAAAAAGTCTATCAATCTATCCAAATTTTCAGTACTTGTGCCACATTGTTTTGTATTATGTTTACTGGCATTGCTAGTTTAAAATGTAATTATCTGTCTTGTGTGCAATATATTTGCTGGAATTCTCACTTGTCAGCAATTGTGTTTCTTTTAAGGCCTATACACTTTCCATTAAATCTTAGTCCTGCCCAGTGCTCACTTAAAATGTCCAGGATCCTCCCTGGGGAGTTTTAGTTCTAGAGCTGCTCCTAAAACTTTTTAGATGGATGAAATTAGGTGGGATTAGCTACCAAAGGCAGCTTTGGAAAGAGAGAGGCAGGTCATCTGATTGACTTGGGAGTTATAGGGAAGGGTGATAGAATAGTGGCTCCTCACAAATGTGTACATCCTAATTCCTGTAACCTGAGAATATGTTGGGTTACCTGGCAAAGGGAAATACGGTGGTGGTGGATTTAAAGTTACTTATAGCAGACCTTAAAATAGGGACACTATTCTGGATTATCTAGGTGGGCCACTGTAATTACTAGGATTCTTAAAAGTGGAAACTGGAAGACCAAAGAGGAGAGTGAGTGAGGAGGAATGCTTAGAGGGAGGCAGCCTTGCAGGCTTCAGAGCTGGGGGAGCTCAGGATTACAGGTGGCCTCTAGAAGAAAAGGAGGGGGAAGAAATTCGCCTGAGTTTTGGATGGAATGCCTCCCTCTCTACCCACCCTACTTTTAGTGCATGAAGCCTGTTTTGGACATCTAAACTTCAGAACTGTAAGAAAACCAAATTGTATTGTTTTCAGACACACAATTTGTGATAATGTGTTATAACAACAATGGGAAACCAACACAGGATTTTTCTGAGTTGCTTATGTGTACACAGGAGCATCTGGCCTTTGTTTTTTGATTTTTTTTTTTTAATGTCAGGGGTCTTCTGAGATTGTTTAGCAGTCAGAGTCCCCTGGAACTAAGAGTTGGGATGCTATGCCATGCACTAGAGTATTCTCTTTCTCAACCATACAGATCTCCATGTGCCATCCAGTAAAGTCCCCTACACATCCCTCATTGTAAAATGAAGCCTCTTGTGGATATTTGCAAATTATGAATATACCTTTATAAGAAATGAGTCAGCAAAGAAAGCTCTTGTCTTGGCTTTGTTCTTGTTTCTTCTTGTTATGTTCTGCTTGTTGTTCTTTACTTCATTTTTTAAAGTATTTAGTGTAGAGGAAAGGATGGTTAGCTCCAAGCACCGAAGTTCTTTGCTAATGCACTAAGAGGGAGCAGCCTGAGCAATCGAGCTTGTCTGTCAAGCTGGTCAAGGTGGAGAGTAATGTGGTCTGGGGTTCCCAGAGCCCATTGGACCTTTGACCTCTTCTGCTGAGACTATTGATCTGGGTTAATCGTCAGCACTGGTTATGCTGCTGGTGGGGCCATACCCCTGTGTGTGATTCCTCTTTAAGTACAAATGGGGCTCCCACTAACGCTGGGGTAATTGGTCCTTTCTCTAGTTTTCCAAGATCAGGAAGGAAAATTAGAATAGATAGACCCTGACAGGCAGGGTGAGCATTCATTTCTAGGATGTTTGCAGCTATATCAGTGACAAAGCAGTTAATCTGGGTGTAGAGCTGATTGTGTATTTCACATCAGGAGTTCTATTTGCCAGGGAGCTAGCTTCCTGTGGGATCAGGTGGGTTAGGATCTGATCCCCAGCACCACCAAAATAAAAACTAAACAAACAAAAAACCTGAATCGCTGGGTATCATACAAACATCTGAGGTTTGTGAAGCAGTGTGGCGGATTTAGCAATGTCCCACCCAAACCCACCAACCCCATGCTTCTCATCCCACTTAATCAGGTGAAGAATGAGCAGAATAATGGTCCTGTGAGAATAAAGAGGTTGGTTATGCTCTCTGGCTAGCAGAACTAGGAAGAAAAGTTCCCAATAGTGTCAGGTCCTGGGATTCTGCTTGTTGCTCTCCACTACCAATGGGCAGCTCCTGAACATCCATCTTGAGCAGTGTCCTACCTCACCCAGCTCCTTCTGTCTTCTTCCTTCTTTCCAAGTTACTCATTCTAGAAGCCTCACCGCAAATCATTCATTCATTCATTTATTCATTGTACAGATGTTTCTTAAACACCAGCTGCGTGCCTTGGACCCTTTCCCCATTCTACCATTATCTGCAGGACTACCCTTTTCTGACTTCCTCTGAAAGTCTGATATCATAGGAGGCAGTGGTGGTTGTGGTAGACACAGAGTGGGGGTGGAAGGCAGAGCTAGTTGTGAGTCTAGAAAGAATCAAGAAAGGAGACAGTCAAGTGGGCTAACCTTTGGAGACTCCTGCTCACCAAACCATAGGATATCCAAATGCCACATGCCACAAAGACTGCTTTAGTGAATGACCATCCCTGTAGTAGCTTGGGTGCATCTGCTACTTCACAGAAGATGTTAGTTTCTCAGGGCCTAGAACAACTTTCAAAATATAAAACAAAAATCCTTCCTTGAATGTTCTTTTAAATCTAGGGGAGGCTCTGGGGGTATATGTCTGCAGCAGAGTGAGTGCTCAGCACATGTGGGGGCCCTGCATTTGATCCCCAGCTTCCCGAAAATAAAAAAATAAGTTAAAATAATTAAATCAGGGCTGGGGATGTGGCTCAAGTGGTAGCGCGCTCGCCTGGCATACCTGTGGCCCGGGTTCGATCCTCAGCACCACATACAAACAAAGATGTGTCCGCCGAGAACTAAAAAATAAATATTAAAATTCTCTCTCTCTCTAAATAATAATAATAATAATAATAATAAAATCAATCAATCTAAGCAGGCTAGCCTAATTACATGAATTAAATTTAAAGTATTGAGTAAGCATTTGAGCAAATGTGGTAGGTCAGGCACTGACAGTGAATTTGCTTTCTTTTATAGATTATCTACATATTTTACTATTTCCCTTGAAATAGACCCACATCTCAACATTTCCCTGTGTCTTTGAGTTTCCACTTCTTTTTGAGCAGTTTATAAATATCACACATTTGCCTTCTGTATTTACTATTCATTCTTTTGTTAAGATTCACATGTATTTTTGCAAGTCATGGAATTTGTCTGACTGCCACATCATGTTCCATGGGTGCCAATGTCAGTCCAGACAGGCACACTCTGCTGAGAGACAGCTGGGTTATTTCCAAGTTTATTTAGAAAGTACTCAGTGTTACAAGGCTGGATGTGATCACCAAAAGATGGATAGAGAGAAGAGAAGAGGATGAAGAACTGAGTTCTGACGTGCTCCGTCATGAGCGGGCTGGGGAGAAGAGGGCGATTAGTTGATGGAGCAACTGACAAGACAGGAAGCAAACCAGGAGAGCAAGCTGTTGTGGGAGCCGTGGAAAAACAGTGGGCAGGGGAGAGGCAGCGAGGACCAGAGCTGGCCCTGGGGTCTTGCCACTGTCCGTTGCCAGGGACCTCTGAATGAAGGAGGCCAAAGCCTGGCTAGAGGAGGATGAAGAACCCCACTCCTCTTCTCCACGTTCCAGTTTTTCCCTTCTCAAATCCATCCTTTCTGTTGCAGCTCTAGTTCTATTCCTAAAATCACAGATTGTGTGGGAACTGTGACTCCCTGGCTTCTATTTCCAGGGACCAAACTGCCTGAAGAACTAAGTTCACACCTATATTCCCCTGCCTCATTATCTGAGGCTGCTGCACCACCTCTCTCTGCTTTTTATTGAGAGCTACTAGTGCTTTCCAAACACTGTACCATTGTCAAATTGCTATTTGTGCTAGAACACTCTTCTTGGTCTCCACCCCCAGGCCCCAGATGCCTCTAGTTAGGTTTCGGCTCAAATGTCAGCACCTCTGCTGGCGCTTCCTATGCATTCTTGGGCCAGTTGTCCAGTCCTGCTTGTGCTAGCACAGAGCTCTGCACACACTGGAGCTTCGCCATGATACAGTGGAGCTGCCGGAATGCCAGAATGCCCTCGCCTGCAGACCAAGGATCATCACTTAGTTTTTGCAGCCTCTGCAGAGTCATATAGCAGGGACTGACAAACAGCAGGTTTTTGTAAGTGTTGGTGAAATAAACAGGACTGTGGAAAACATATATCTATTGTATGTTTTATTAGATAATTTTAGTGAAGACAAAGTTTAACTCCGAGTGTGGTTTTAGTTTTGAAAGTGCTAAAGGCACAGCCTGATGAAGAAGCTGGGGATTATACTTTTTTTTTTTTTTAATGAATGGAGCATGGGAAAAGATTTAAGCAGATGAGACACACTTTCTTACGTGGTCCATAAACAGCACTCCAGTTTTCTGGCACTTATTTGCTTAAGGCAATTTAAAGATGAAGTCCCCAAAACATTTTGAGTAGTGACAGTATTGTGGGACAGTGGTCTCAAGGAGACTGCTTTGAAGGACAAAGTTTACTTGCATCTCTAAGTTCTGGTATCTATGCTAAAAACTGGGTGTTATTCTTTTGTCGTATCATATATTCTGGTGTGAATTTTTATAAGTTACATTTCCATTATTTCCTGTGTTCTTAATTCTTCTTTTTGTAACACTGTTGTTTTCAATCCTCTCCTTTGTAAGCATCGATTTTCAGCGCAGCAGTATTTGAAAATTCTGTTAAAATTGTTTATTTTAAAACACTACTCATAAAACCATTAACTAAGACCAGATTTAACACCAGTTCCAGTGGCTGATCTCTACCCCAAATGGGTATATGGCCATTTGTTGGGATCTTTTGTTTACTGATTTTCAAGTGGTTTTCAATCTGTGTGACACTGATCAGATCCAAGCCAATTTGGATTAATTTTTCAAGTCACTTTTCATGAGGCAGTGCATCAAATGCTCTACCAAGTCCAAATGGGGAACATCTGCTCTCCTTTCCCTGATAATTTTACAGCTTGCTCAAGAAGTTGACTGCTTTATCAAGCGTGGAATGTGTTTTATAAGCTTCCATTATTATTGCCCATGATTCTGTCACCTTTTAGAATTTCCCCACTCCACTTTATTTGCCAAGTCTTGATAAAATACTTATTAGTTAGGCATCTGATACAATTATTCTTCTAGTGGTAACACTTTGTGACTCTGGGTTCACTTGGATTAGATCTATATATAACCTTTCCAGTTATTGTGATTTAGAAGATGCAAGCAATAAAATCTGCGTTAGTCATTTTTGTTCATATCCTGGGAGAGATGTGATTCAGACTTGCTGATTGGTATATGTTCTGAGATTTGAAGTATTCACTTACCTGCTCTTTGTCATTAGCTGTTTTTTTTTTTCCCTAGGTGCATTTTGCAGTCCCCATCTTTACCATATGTTAAATGGATATTATGCTTGCCGCAGCATGCCTACGGATCAGTAAAATGTCCACGTGTACAAGTAAGTTGACTCATGTAGCCTTTGGATACAGATTGAAGTTTTTGATGCTTCTGTCATCTCATTGATATAGGTGAGCAGTTGCTTAATAACTTGCTTTCAAGGGTTTGTGGAGTAATTTCTAAGCACATAAACTGGGAAAGTTTGCTTTGTAATTAGTTTTTGAAGCAGATTAAAAAAGATTTCGTGAAAAAAATGCGTTTTTATGATTTAAGCCCTGTGATCATTGTGTTTACTGATGATATTAATTAAGTACATATAAAAATCTTGTATTAAGTACCTTTGCATTGGTTAAAATATAAATATATTACTATCTAAGGTGGACAAATTAGTGAATGAACAAACTGTCAGAGATATAATTGACATATTTGGTAGTCACAAATTAAAATTTTAGTTATGATTTACCAAGGATTACTCAAGTATTAATTAACTGACAGCTAGAACACTGCTTTTGACATACTAGAATTTCCTTTGGTTAATCTTATATACATTATAGTCCGTTTCTTCCTCTTTATATCAAAATTTTAGCTTTTGAAGTGTTTTGACATATGGTAAACGTCAATAAAAAGGCAGACATTTTCAGTTTTTAGAAATGTAAATATATCATTCTGTAAGAAATTCCAAAATGTTGGCTATGGGACAATGGAAACCACATGTAGTTTTTCTGCAAATCTCAATATACAAGTAACTGCTTTCAACACATCTTTTCTGTCTCCAGTTTTAATATTAACTGCTTGATTAAATGTTAAACGGAGCAAAGGCCACTATGTCAGGCGTCACCAATATTCATATTGCTTCCAAAGGATAGAAAACCCTTAGTTTTGGATATTTACCATTGTGTGTGTGTGTGTGTGTGTGTGTGTGTGTCTTAGAGATAATTAACTAGTTTTGGGAACACTCCCTATTTGTAATCCAAAATTTTAGAGTTGGGGATTTCTTGGCCTGAATGACGTTATCAAAGTTTTGTTTTGTTTTAAGTTACTCGGTGGCAGCTTTTTTTTTAGATTCACCGTTTAGAACATGTATTTTGGCAATTTGTTCTAAACAGTGTATTTTTTTTTCTAGATTCAGATTTTTTTCTGCTTTCAACGTTATGTTTATAGATATTATAAGTGTTCTGATCATAATATATCTGTTCATAATCATCCGTTAATGACCATAGCATTTTTATTTCCATAAACAAACTACCAATATTTTAAATGGAAGTGGAAGAAATTCACATTTATATAACACATTTTAATTTCACTTAGAAGGTAGAACTGAATCCAGAAAACTATTTGTGTGTGTGTATGTGTGTGTGTGTGTGTGTGTGTACGTGTGTGTGTGGTACTGGGATGGAATCTGGGGCCTCTCTTATGTACTGGGCAAGCACTCTACTTCTGAGCGACATCCAGCCTTGCCAAGCTACTCCTGAGGAGGGATGACTTCAACTTAGTAGGATATACCTTATAAATGAATGTGTATGCTTGGAATCAGTTTTTCTAAGTGGAGAAACGGTATTATGTTAGAGGTCAGAGACTCACAGAGTAAATGTGTTTAGGTTTGCTTTCTTTGTATGAAGTTTTAAAATGATGCATCAATCTATATCCCCAAAAGAAGAGTGCAGTTTTTTTCTGCATAAGTAGAATTGGAAGTCTACATTTCGCTTTTTGTAAAAACATGGCAATTCTGTTTCTCAAGAGGCCAATCATACACAGGAAAGTTTTTAAAAAGGTCAATTTTCTGCATAATTCTAAGTTTTGCAACTTGTATTATACATTTTTGTTGCTCTGTTGTTACTTACAGATATTTATGTGTTGTTTCAAATTTTTCTTTCTGCTAAATTCATGAATCATTCACATACGCATGGAAATAGTACTAAATCAATACATTCCCTAGTAACACAAGATTTCTATATCTCTGATATTTTAGAATTTCTTCCTCATTAATTATGAGCAAAAGCACACAATATGCATTATACAAGCATGATGATCAGAGGTGGTCAGATGGAAAGGTTGAATATAGAATAAGAAATTTCTGTAGTTTAAATAGAAAACAAATGGCAATTTATGCCTCAGAAATGTTTGTGTCTTTATGATATAAAACACTGGTAACCTCAAGATAAAATAATGCCTAGTTTTATGTATTTCAAAAAATTGTGGGAGGGGCTAGAGATGTGGCTCAGTGATAGAGCACTTGCCTAGCATGTACAAGACCCTGGGTTCAAACCCCAGCACTGGGGGAAAAATTATTGGAGGATTCTTTCTAGATCCTGGACAAGTAAGGACTCTGTTCTAATTACTTCATCCACTGTTAGATTATTCTTAATCAAAATGTTTTTCTGAAATCCAGACAAAATGTATTCTTTCCTTTAAGATTTTAATCTGTTCTTACTGCTTTCAGCTGTTCATCCATGGAGACAGCAGGAGGTGGAGGGTTGGGGTGAGACATGTGAATTGAGCATGGGGTAGTTGTATTCTGAACAGAGTAATTTGGAAGTTTTTGCCCTCGTGCCTTTCAAAATATAATTTTTGTCAAGATATAAGCTCCAGTCACATCACTAAAAAAGCCGTATATATATGATTGACATCACTCTTACTAGACGTTTTGCAAGGTTATATTAAAAGATCTAGAGTGTTGTTCAAACCTAAGAAATACATTTTCAAATAAAAGACGCAAAATAAAAAATATCACGGTAAATTCCAGGAAACCTTGTACCTGAATAGACTCCTATAGGTAGCTATTGTTCACTGCTTGCTGTACTAATTTTCCCATCATTAACTTGTTCTATGTATTTGTTTTACATTATAAAATTTCTGGTTATTTGATTTTATACCTTTATTTTTATTAATTTATTTTTATGTGGTGCTGAGGATTGAACTCAGTGCCTTGCACATGTGAGGTGAGCACTTTGCCCCTGAGCCCCAGCTCCAGCCCCTTGTTATTTGATTTTAAACTAGTAACTTTGAGAATAATTATTCCTTTTGTCCTAGGCAAGGTAGGTATCTGAACTGAGCTGGTTGAAATCAAAAGAAAAAAATCTCAGTTCTTTGTGGAGTATTAATTTCTTTTATTACATCGAAGTGGTTGTTGTAAATATAGAACTGTTTTCTTTAGTGCCTCTCAGAGGGTCCAGACAGAACAAAAAAAGGGCCAGCCTTCCTATGCACTCTCTTCAACTTAGTAGTAATTAACGTGAGTGGAAGAAGCAGAGCTTCTTGATTTAGGAGCCCCGGGTGGTGTGAGGGTTCCTGGAACTAGGCGGTGGCTGTGTTAGGGGGTGCGCCCACACTTCTGCTTGCAATTTCCTCCTGAGCTGACCTGGACAAACACAGGAAGGTTGGAAACAGGTTGTCAGCAACGGATGCATAAGGATGCAAATACACAGGACCCAGGAGATGGGAAACACTTGTGAAAGAACCTGCAGTCGTCCTGACCATGCCGGGCGAGTGGTACTGGGTAGTTTTAAAGATTTAGTAAGTAGTGTGGGTTACTTTCATTTGCTGCCTTCAAGTTTTTCTCTGTGGTATGCAGTACTGAGATGGAGTAGATTTAAAAAGTCAGAGTGGTTTATTTCCATTTTAATCAAGTCTCTAGAGCTAAAGTGTGTAAATTAGTAGCCAATTACCTAGTTTGCATGCCTGTGGTATTTCCATGTTCTACTATTATGGTAATGAATCTGAATAGTGATTAGATTGTCTTAAATCTATGAAAGAATTGCATGTCCTTTTCCTCTTAAACTGTAAGGAAAATTTAAAACTTTAAAAGTATTGAAATGAAATTAGCTTTCCTGAGATACTTAAAGATAGTATCTTCATTTAAATGCACCTGAGACGATTATAGTCTTTACAGGTCTGGAAAATGTGGATCAGGGGTGATTTTAAAAATACTTTTCTTTGAAGTATGCAGGTCATAATGATATACTTTATTAGCTGTAAAACTGTAAGAATCTCTCTAATCAGCAACCTTCACCTTATGTCCATTGTAGTGGATTACATTTCTTTCACTAGCTCTTCAGTGTGTAAAATACACAATGATGCGGAGACACATGTGCACGTACCTGTCTAGGGAGATGCATAGTCTGAACAGAGAGGTGAGATTCAGATAAATCAAGGGCACACGGTTCAACTGTTGACCCTGCTCAGCATTTCCCAGGGGAGCTGGTAAGGGTGGGGTCCTCAGAAGCCTGGTGGGCCCTTATCATTTATCTGTGGAGAAAGGGAATGCCCTGGAGCTGTGGCTTTGTGCAGAGAGGGGGTGCCAGGCACTCAGAGAGCCTGTGGGGCTTGGGGAAGGCCGGTGGGCCTGGAGCTCAAGTGGTTTCTGTGTGATCCTGGCTGATCATTGTGCTCTTGTGCTTCTCAGGAGTCTCAAGCTTGGAGAATCCTTGTATTCACAGGAGTGCAGTGGGGAATTATAGCATAGTTCGTGGCATGTGTGAAGCACACTCACTTCCAGAGGGAATGCTGCAGAACAGTGTTTTATCAAGAGTTCCGAAGTGTTGCTCTTTAGATTTTGGTGACCACTTAGAAAACTCTTGCAAGGAGGGAGCATTGTTTAGGTTTCTCTGGGAACTTGACACTAACCCCCTCAGCCTTTGTTACTCTCCCTCCTCCTTGCCCTCCCTCTGCTCCTTCTTCCCTCCTGGGTTCCACTCATAGCTATTTTAAGAAAATTTGCATTTTGGTGGCATACTTTTGGATAAAATAGGTGAAGAATATCCATGTTCTCTTGTTGAGACTTGGTAAGTAAGGATTATTTTTAACTTTAAGATAAGACTTCAATCTAAATTTTTATTTTCATCCAGTGTGACTTCATTCAGGATGCTGAAGTGTGAGCCCTACAAGGAGATCCCTGATCATCAGGCCCAGCGACCTCCTGTTCCTGCAAATGGAGCCTGCTCCACCAGATCTGTCCACGTCAGAGAGGAGCAGAGTGCATCCCAAAATGAATTTTTTCCCTTACACTACTATACCTGTACTCTTTTTCCTTATTGTAAAAGCAGTTCGTTGGATAAAATCTGGAAATTATTGATTTGAAACCTCCTCCTATTATCTAGAGAAACCTAATATTTTAATATTTATCTTTCTCATCTTCTTCTCTATGCCTATATCCCTGCAATTGTTTTTTTACAATATTAGAACCATGTCATTCATACTATTTTACAATAAAGATAGCTTTAATTGTTTTCCAAAAATGAAATGGGCATTATAAAAATCACAACAGTGCAGAAAAGTAAAAAGAAAAGAGTAAAAAAGGCACTTGATTGTCCAAAGGTTATTACTTGCCAAAGTATTAAGGCCATCAGGCTGCAGACTTAAACATGGCTAGTTTATGATATTAACATCACTCTTTCAGACATTTGCCAGAGTATAGCTCCTCATAAGGATTTGTGTGATTGTTGATGTTTGGTAATGTGCTTTTGTACTCAGTAATATCATGTGGACATATTTCTGTGCCAGTAAACACAGGTTGGCTCCCAAAGTTTTGCTGACTCATCACATTCTACTTTATAGACAAACCTTAATTTCTTAAGAATTTTCCTGCTAATCCTGCTGTTACTACCAATTACCCCCTGATAAACAGTGCTGTCCTATAGGGCACTGTAGCTATTTGCATAATCTCTTATGCTGGATCCCTGCACGTGGTGGTGGTGGTGGATTGATGGCTGTGCTTGGCTGTACAGTTCCTACCTGTGCATTAGTGAGTTCAGTTCCTTATAATCTTACCAACATCAAGCATTACCATGTATGTGTTTATTTGAAAAGGTATCTCGTTCCTGTTTTATTTTACATTTCTTTACTCTCAAGTGTGAACAAACATATCTAGAGTTTTTCATCAACCATTATTCTCCCGTTGTGAAACACCTGTATTATTTGCCATTTTTTTCAATTCTGATATTCATCATTATGTTCTAAATATATTAACTCTTTCTTTGTTAAATATGTGACATTTTCTTTATTGATTTTCACTTTACCTTTGTGTGCATTCTTTTTATTTATTTTTCAATCCAATCCATTTTTTAAAATCTATATATTTATTTATTTATTTTGTGTGCATTCTTTCACATATATTGTTTAAAAATATGTGTGTGTGTGTTTAGGAATTGAATCTAAGGGAGTTTAAACATTGAGCTACATCCCAAGCCCTATTCATTTTTTATTTTGAGATAGGGTTCCTGTAGGTTGTCCAGTATGTCCTTGAATTTGAGATCCTCTTGCCTCAGCCTCCTGAGTTGCTGGGATTATAGGAGTGTGTCACCATACGTGGCTCTTCTTTTTTTTTTTTTTTTTGTATAGAAGTTTTGAAATTTCAGGCATTCAGTTATATCAATATCTTACTTTGTGATTATTGCCATTTTAAAAAATGGCTTTAGCTTAGGAATTAGACCAGAAACATTTCAACTGCTAGAAGAAAATAAAGGGTCAATACTCCATCATATAGGTGCAGGCATCAATTTCCTCAACAAGACCCCTAAATCTTAAGAAATAAACCAAGAGTCAATAAGTGGGAGGCCATAAAATTAAAAACTTCTGCACAGAAAAGGAAATAATTAAGAGCATGAAGAGAAAGCTTACAGAATGGGAGAAAATCTTGGGCAGCTACTCCTCATACAAGGGATTAATATCCAGAATATATAAAGAACTCAAAAAAGCTTAATGCCAAAACACACAAATAACCTGATCAGTAATGGGCAAAATAACTAAATGGACATTTATCAAAGAAGAAAAACAAATGGCCAACAAATATATGAAAAAATATTCACCATCCCCAGAAATCAGGAAAATGCAAATCAAAAACTACCCTGAGATTTCATCTCAGAATGACATTATCAAGGACACAAATAGTAATAAATGCTGGTGAGGATGTGGGAAAAAAATATTCACTTATACATTGTTGGTGGGACTGCAAATTAGTATGCCTACTCTGGAAATCAGTATAGAGTTCTTCAAAAACTAGGAATGGAACTACCATATGACCCTGCCATCCTTCTCCTTGGTATTTATCCAAAAGAACTAAAATGAGCATACCATAGTGATGCAGCCATCTCAATGTTATAGCAGCACAATTCCAAATTATGGTATCAGTCTCAATACCCATCAATAGCTAAATAGATCAAGAAAATATGGTTTGTATACACAATAGAGATTTACACAGCCATAAAGAAGAATAAAATTTTGGCATTTGCTGGTAAATGGATGGAACTGAAGAACATCATGTAAATAAGTCAAATGCAGAAAGTCAAGGGTCAAATGTTTTTTCTCATATGTGAAAGCTAGACCAAATTAAGGGAAAGGAGGAGGATCCGATATCATAAAAATATAGGGAAGATCAGTGGAGTAGAAGAAGGAGAACGAGAGGGAGGGAAGAAGGACAGGAAGGGGGAAGAAATATGGAATGAAATTAAAAAAAACCCACATTATATGCATGTTTAAATGAACCACAGGGAATTTCACCTTTATATGTAGAAGGGATCAGTTAAAAATAAATAAATAAATTGGTGAAAGGAAGATCAGTAGAACAGAGGAAAGAGATGGAGAGGGAAGAGGGAAGGGAAAGGTGGTGTATGTGGGGGGGGCAATGAGGATTGAAATCAATTTCTGTCACTGTATGATTTTGTCAAAATGAGCCCAGCTACTATGTGTAACTATAATGCTCTAATTAAAAAAACAGTCTTAGATAAAATAAATAAAAAACAAAACAAAACAAAAAAACAGTCTTAGAAAATCCTTTCTTCCCCAAATGCCATGTAACAATTTATATTTTAACAATTTATATTTTCTCCTAATATTTTTACCCTTTATCTATTTGGAGTTCATGTTCATATAAAATGTAAGGTAAATCTAATAATTTACTCCCAAACCATCTACTGTAACAATTTTGTAAGGTAGTAAACTCTTGACTTTTATTTTTGTGTAGTTAAATGCATCATTATTCTCTTCAGGGTTCTCTTGGCTAGCGCCATGTTTGATAATAGCCTTCTCCCTCCAGAGCATGTGTGTGCACAGACAGACCTGGACACATATGTTGACATATGTCTCTGACATATTTATAGTTCCACTTTAATACTGCAATCATTAGTTTATCTAAAATTTATTTTCGTATATTGTGTGAAATATTTAACTAATTTTTCTCTAAATCATCAGTTTGATAATTATAACTTAGGAAATAATTCACATTTTGCCATTGTTTTTAAAAGTTTCCTTTATCACATGAAATCTTACAGCAATTTGGACAGATTGTGGACTTCCTATTCTATTTTGTTTATCTTTCTATTCTCTGTTGTATTAATTTCACATTTTAAAAATTATAACACCTTAAAGCTTATAACTTTTCTTAAATTTTTAATTTTTTGAGGTACAAATTGGCATTGCATTATCTTTTAGTTTAGATTTCTCTGTCTAGTAGTGATCGGAACATTTGTTCAGGCTTTTCTTAGATATATGTTTCATATAAATTTATATATTTTTAAATGTATAAATATATATTGATATATATCCTTTGTCCATTTTTCTCTTAAAAGTTCTGGCTTCTTCTATAACATAAATATCAAAACTTTATTATCTGCATCACATATAGCTTTTTTATTTATTATTTATTGTCTTTAACAATATGCAAATCTCTAAATAAAAAATATATTTACACAGGGCACAGTAGAATAGACCTGTAATCCCAGATATGTGGGAGGCTGTGGCAGAAAGATCACAAGTTTGATATCAACCTTGACAATTTAGTGAGAGCCTGTTTCAAAAATAAAAAGCAATGGGGGTGCAACTCAGTAATACAGCACCCTTTGGTTGGAATTGCATCACAAAGTGTGCACAAAACATTTGCTTTTTTTTTTTTTTAATCTACAAAGTCTACTTGTGTTTATAGCTTCTAGTTTCCCTATATTAGTTAATAGGGTCTTACCATTATCTGTACCTCTAATCTCCTATATTTTCTTGCATGATTTGTATTATTTTAAATTTTACATTTCAGAATTTATTTGAACTGAAATTTGTATGTGGTATAACCTAAAAATCTAACTTTATTTTTTCAAATGAGTAACCTGTCATGCCAGCACTTTTTATGAATAGAAATCCTACTTTTATAGTATATTGAATTTTTACACATATTGAGTACTCTGGAGTCTCTTTTCCCATTGATCAGTTTGTCTCTTCACATACCAATCTTTATTACAACAGATATATTATAATACAATATTCTGATAAGTACTGTATTTATTTGATTATAGTGGCAAAAGACATTCTCAAACAAGTAAGAATTAAACAAATATACCTTTGAGTATATTTTCAATCCTTGAAAAAAAATTACTTGATGAAATTCAGTCAACAAAGACATGAATAAGAAAAGTAAATAAAAACAAGTCAGATCACGAAAAGACTCATGGAAAACATTCAATTCATTGAAATTAAAAAATTTGATCAAACAACTTTGAGAAATCTGTTGCAAAACCAAATGTTTATGAATGTAATTAATATTGACAATGTAAAGAGAACCGAAGTAAACTCAGTTGGTAGCTATTTGGTAATTTGACAATATGTATCAAAATTTAAAATGCATGCAACCTTTGATCCAGCAATTCTTCTCACTCTGTTCATAGGTGTGTATGTGCTTTATTTTGTAATAGCAGAGGACTGGAAACAGCTCAACACTTCATTGTGAGGAAACTAGTTAAATAAACACAGTTATATGGGGCCAGGTGCGGTGGTGCAGGCCTATAATTCCAGCAATTGGGGAGGCTGAGGCTGGAGGATGGCAAGTTTGAGGTTAACCTGGGCAGCTTTGTGAGGACCTGTCTCAAAATAAAAAATGAAAAGCCCTGGGGTTGCAGCTCAGTGGTAGAGCACCCCTGGGTCCAATCACCAGTACTGCAAAAAAAAATGTATGTGTATGCAACAATATCTAAGGAAATGTTTTTTGTTATTGTTTAATTTTAGTAATAATTAAATTTAACTCTGCAATACAGCTAGAGTTGGAGGAGAATTAGTAAAACATGGAACCTGAGCAACTGCAGTGAGCACAAAGAGTGCAGGGGTTTGTGAGCGGACAGGGTGAGAAGTGTGCCCCTGAGCTACAGAAGGAACAATCTGGGGCTAAGCTCACACTAGTCAGAGGTATCAGGCTGTGCACCTTGGCAACAGCAGCACTCTTCTTGCTGGTCTGCACTCTTTCACTCCCTAGAGACCAACCATCCGCCACCCAGCCACACAGCCTAGGCAAGCTCTCTACACTGGGCCACATCCCCAGCTCTTTTAATGTTATTTTGAAAGAGGGTCTTGCTGAGATGCTGGCATTGAACTTGTGATCCTCCTGCCTCAGTCTTCCAAGTTGCTGGAGTTACAGGGGGCGAGTCACAGCTCCTCATTCACATTTTAAATAACAAAATCTACCTGAAAGGTATAATTGTGAGGGTTAAACAAGATGAAATACATACAATATCTGGGGTAGCGCTTGGCACATTATTTAGTGGGCCAGGGGTAGAGGTGTCCTTTTATTTATACTTGATTTATACCATTTATTGACAGGGTCCCTTGAATTCTCTTCTTGCCTCTTCAATCAAGCCATAAACATTTATTGCACACGTACTAGTCTCTGGGTGCCTAGTCCTGTGCTGGGGCTGTGCAAACAAAGAATGAGCCATGGTTGTTCCAGCTGCACTGAAAATAGGTTTTATGCAAGAGCTTTACAAACACACACTTGTGGAGTCCCTTAGTCATTTAACTGAATTGGCTATTGAGTATTTTAGCCTAGTGGTTGGTAGCTCAGAGCTTTGTTTTGTTTTTCCTCCCTTCTTTTCCCCAAGGGAGCTTTAGGACCAACTGGTGTAAAGGAGTCTGATGTTCCGAATCACAATCATGGGCAGCT